TCCACTTAGAGATGGATCAACCTTTAATAGATGATTCCAAATGGATCCATCCAGATAGGATCCGATTACAGATGGATCCACCTCTACCAGAAACCTATCACATATGGATCCACCTGTGATAGCATCATATGACAGACGGATCCACCTCGAATGGAATCCGATTAGAAATGGATCCTCCTCCCTCCTCTTCTGTTGTCCTCTCTCCTTCTTTTCCTCTTGCTCCTCCTCCCTACTCGCCCCTCGCCCTCGTTTCCCCTCTCGTCTTGTCCCCCCTCCTCATGTTCACGTTCTCTTATACGAGCTGTTTCCTTCAAACCGCCTCTTTGAAAACGAAGTTTGATTTAGAGGGGTTCCAACTTCTCCCCGCCTCTGTCTCTTTGCAGGGGCGGTTAAAAATGTAGAGATGAAGAGAAAGAGAGAGGGAGAGAGAGAGAGAGAGAGAGAGAGAGAGAGAGAGAGAGAAAGAGAGAGAGAGAGGGTGAGAGAGAGAGAGAGAGAAAAAAAAAAGAGAGGATGATGTCAAAAGAAAAAACCAACATACATACATACATATACATCCCCGTTACGAAAGTTAATTCATCTTGGCTAAAATTGACATGTGCGGGCGCTGTGGTGAGAAGTGGTATGGGAGTGATTCTTCCTTGTGGTTTCATACGGGGAGAGATTCAGAGTTGCCTGGAAGTGGCGCGGAGTGATTTCTCCGCTGTGAATTTACGGGGGGGGGGGAGATGTTATCCTGAATTGGTTATATACTATTAATGCTACCAGGGAGAACCCCGGAAATCTCTCCCGCCAAGCCAGGCCGAAGACTGCCGTGCTAGGGGTCTACGGGGGGAACGGGGGGCCACTCGGAGACGCCCTAGCCGTCAGTGCTCAAGATGAATAACTTTCGTAACGGGTAAGCGGTATCTTACATTGCACTTCGACAAGGGTGAGACCAGCGCTACCCCTTCACAGCAGCGCCTTTGGCCGCCACAGCGCGCTTGCACGTGCCCCGCAGACCCTCGGCAACGTTGCCTGCCGCGGTCTGCGAAACCGCAAGCACGCAACGAGCAAAGACGCAATCATGCAGGAGTTGGCACGCCGAGTGCACACAGTACCGCTGGAAGCCCGATGGCGACGCCGCAAAGGACGCTGCCCCGACGCGAGCGCGAAATCCGCATCCGCCTCAGGCGCGAACGCAAACAACAGACGGTCGGCCCCGCCCAAGGCGGGGCTCGAAATCGGGACAACTCTGATGCGCAGTAAGTCGTCGCAGCGGAGCAGCGGCGGCAATGATGATGGCGACGTGTTTATCGAGCGCGATGCTGGGCCCCGTTCGGGTTTCGAATTTGGGTTCCTCATGACATTGGCTGACATTGGCGTGTGAAAAAGCCGTGGGTCCTCATCCCCGTTACGAAAGTTAATTCATCTTGGCTAAAATTGACATGTGTGGGCGCTGTGGTGAGAAGTGGTATGGGAGTGATTCTTCCTTGTGGTTTCATACGGGGAGAGATTCAGAGTTGCCTGGAAGTGGCGCGGAGTGATTTCTCCGCTGTGAATTTACGGGGGAGAGATGTTATCCTGAATTGGTTATATACTATTAATGCTACCAGGGAGAACCCCGGAAATCTCTCCCGCCAAGCCAGGCCGAAGACTGCAGGGGCTAGGAGTCTACGGGGGAAACGGGGGGCCACTCGGAGACGCCCTAGCCGTCAGCGCTCAAGATGAATAACTTTCGTAACGGGTAAGAATTTGAATATGAGAAAAGGAGATTGATAGAGAGAGAAAGAGAGAGAACGAGAGGAAGACGTCAAGGAGGACATCGAGAGGAAGAAAAAGGAAAAACGACAGAAACAACTCGGGAACCTCTGGAAGGGGAGACGGCCCAAAAGAGTCCAAGATAGCCTCCAAGATGGCTCGATACCCTCCTTCCTCTCCTCTCCTTGCACGCTCTGTTTCACCATGTGTGTCTCTTCGTCCCCTTCCCCTGTCAGCTATCATGGGCAGGGCTTCTGGATGAGCAGGTGGGGATTCGCGAAGCGTAAACAATTGATGCTCCCCCTTCCCCCCAAGCTCAAAGTTGGCACGCGCGGGGAAGTCGGCGGTCAAAGAGCAACTCACCAGAGCCACAGACGACTTTGATCAGTGGGGGGAGGGGGGGAGCGCTGACAGATGAATTCGGCACGAGCATTGGTTCCGAGGCCTGCACCTGGCCGCCTCACCGATCCTGGTTGGGCCCATTCCTGGTATGTGAACCTTTTTTGTTCGGCGCTTCGACATTGGGCGGAGGGGGGGGGGGAGAGGAGGGTCTGGCTCCAGACCTCTGCTTAGTGCTACTGTGTGCGGCAGTGCGTCCCATGGGGGAGACCCCACCTGCCTGAAACAGGCGCCCAAAACGGCCAAGATCTACTCCTTGGGGGGGGGAAGGGGGGGTGTGCGAGGGCCCACGCCGCTCGGCAAATCAATGGATCAAGAAACGATCACTATCAGGATCCGTGTCTGCGCCTCCCTGGCCTGCCCGGGGAGGGCGGAGACACCAGCCCCGGGCCCGGCGGCGAAGATCGGTGATGTCAACCGACGCCCCCAACTCACACCTCCGACGAAGTGATCTTTTCAATCCGCAGCCCCCGCTGTCCCCGCGGTACCTTCGCCGCTCGTAGATCTCGGCGGCGCGCACACGGGAGGCCGGGGGAGGGGGGAGATAGCTTCCCAGAAGGAGGCTGCTCCTGAGAATTGGCGGCCACATGTGAGCCCGACCCCCACCCCCCACGAGTTCCAAGGAGGGTGGGGGCTCACTCCCCCGTAGAAATCGTGGGGGGTGGGGGTAGGGTTCACATGTGACCACCGATAGAAGACGCTGGCCCTGCACCTTCTAAGAAGCAGCCTCCTTCTAAGAAGCCTTCCCCCTCCCCCTGCCCACCTCTGCGCGTGGCCGAGCTTGTAAGTCGAAGACCGGCATCGGACCGGGCCGACCAGAATCGACAGCGAACCGAGCCGGCCAGATCGGGGTAGGCTGCTTGAAGTAGATTTCGGGAGCCCACGAAGGACGTACGCGCACACCCACGTACATGAACACGGCCGCCCCTCAGTCCGCGAGACCGGCCGCGTGATACGAACGTTCTCGCAATGTGTACTCTCGAAACCAACGTTGCTTTCATGTGCGTGTACGTCATTATCTCGCTCCTGAAGATTGGGAGCTGGGAACATCAAAACAAAAAAAAAGATCCACTTGCAACGGCGGGCGCGTACGTTCGCCGCTCGTGCATCGAGACCGGCATCAGACCGGGCCGACCCGGGCTTCCTCCTCCTCCTCCTCCTCCTCCTCCTCCTCCTCCTCCTCCTCCTCCTCCTCCTCCGACCAGAAAATCCACCGCTGACCGAGCCAGCCAGCTCGGGGTGGGCCCACGTAGGCCCTGCCGTCTGGTGGCCCCCCCGCGGGAGCGGAGGGAGCCTCGCGCCGGGGGCGGCGGCCCCCGCCGCGGGCGGCGTGGGCCGCGGAGGCCGCCGCGGCGGGCCTCGGGGGCCCTCGGGCGCGGATCGAAGGAGGTGAAAAACGCAGGCCTCCCAGGAATCGAAGAAGACATAACGGTGATGCCTTCACCGCGGAGGAGGGGGTGGGGGAGGGGTCCCGGGGAGTGGTCCCAGGTCAGAATACGACCCTCCCAGAGCCCATGGCACGCCCTCTCCCTCCCATTTCCGTCGAGGGCCGAGGCCTCCAGGGTCGGCGGCACCGTCCGTAAGGCCTCAGCAAGAAAGGCCTCCCAAGAATAGAAGAAAAACCGGCGCAAACAGAAACGTTGGGCGCTCCGCGCGGATGTCTTGGATCTGCGCCAGGGGCGGCGCCAGAGGCGCCGCCAGAGGGCACAGCGCGGATCCAAGAAATCCGCGCGGAGCGCCAAAAGTTTATGTTTATGCCGTTTTTCTTCTTCGAGAGAAGGCCCGAAAGGCCCCGCCGATGCCTCCAAAAGCCCTCCAAGAGGCCACAGCATTCGAAGGGGTCCAGGGACACACGCACACGCACACACACACACACAAAAGAAAAACACACACGCACAAATCGATTGGCACAAATCCCAGGAGTCCCAACATGATCCAACATGTTCCACGTGTTCTGGGTATTCGTCTTCCCCTCCACTTCCCGTGTTTTCCATATTTTCCAGGGGATCGACGATTCTTTCTATCTGTGCTTTCTTCCTCCCGAGCATCGGGGGCGTCGGGCTCGGATCGAAGGAGGCAAAAGCGAAGGCCTCCCGAGAAGGCCCAGGAGGCCCCCCAGATGCCCCCAAGAGCCCTCCAAGAGGCCCCTGAGAGGCCTCCCGCGACACGGTGTCCAAAGTTGCAGGCCGCATCATAGCCCCCGAACTGGACGGGTTCGCAAATCATGGCCCGAGGCATGTGCGCGGACATGCGGAGGACCAGGGGACGCATGGAAAAGAGAGAGGGGGGCCATGAGGTCCAGACAGCTACCATGGCCCCAGCTATGAGATCCCCCCCTAATGTGGGGACGTGGCCGCAAGAGCACCCCGCAAGAAACCCAAACCCGGAAAGCTGCGCGGGAGTTGCACCCCTAAGAGAGCAACCCAGAGCACCCTGGGCGCAGCAGCTGCCTCAACACGGCCGGAGGAAGTCACCGCCCAGCGCGGGGAGCAAAGAAACCCAGGGCACCCTGACCAAAGGGCATCCGGTCTTTCTTGACGCGCGGCCCCCCTGCAGTCATCGCCCCCCTCTCGAACGCCCCCGATATCGTGACCCCTGAACTAGTTTGGTCGACCCAAAAGGGGGTCCAGCTGACACGGGGTGGTGCAATAGATTTGGGGCCACTGTGTTGCAAATGTACTGCGCCGTAGAATTGCGTTGCATTGCATTGCGACGAATGCATTGCACGCGAACGTCCAGCAATACATGTGCGCCCGGGAATGTACTGCACGCCCTGAATGTACTGCAACCCCACAAAGCTACTGCACCAAATCTACTGCACCACCCCCCTGTCGTTAGACCCCCTTTTGGGCCAACCCGAA